AGAAATAAAAACATTTCTTATTCCATTCATTTTCCTTCGGTTCATGTGTCTGATAACAAAATTTTATTATCGCAGGGCAAAAGTTTGTTTCGTCGAAAAGAGCTTAATTCGCCAGACGGCTTGTGTGGGATTTTAATTTTCCATATCCAGCGAAGGCTCCAAGCTACACCTGGGTTTTGTCAATTATCAAAATCTAACGTTTTCAAGTGGATTTTCTTTGGCGAACATTTCTTGATAACACAATTCCATTCGCGCAGGCCGAGTAGGGAAATCGGTCAATGATTGCTCGCAGGTGGCCTTTAATTTTCATATCTGTCCAAAAGTCTTTTTTTTTGTCGCCTGTTTCTTGTCGTCACTTATCGAAATAACATTTTCGCTGGAATTTTTCCCTTGGTCGGTGGCCTGTGTTTTGATAGTAAGATGCCTTCTCGTACCAATAGTTTAGATAACACTTCTCTACCCACTCAATCTCATTGTCATTGTAATGACACTCTTTTCGCCATGTGCCACTTATCCAAAATAACCTTTTTTTTATTGCCTCTTAAGCCGCGTGTGTGTGTTCGCCTATGATCCGCCTCGCATTACTTTTTCCCTTCCTTTCTTCTTTTTTTCCTTTTCCCTTTTTGCCTTTCTTTCTCTCTCTGGATGCATGGTGCCACATTTGTCGCCATATTTATTACAACGTTTCGGCCGTTGTACGCTCCGACCTTCTTCTTCATGACATTCTGAAGAAGGCCAGAGCGTACAACGACGGAAACGTTGTAATAAATATGGCGACAAAGATGAGGACAATAGTCCGAATAATGTAAATAGTGAATAATAATAATAATGATGATGATAATAATATTAATAATAATAATAATTATTATTATTATTCATGTTTAAATCTGTTTTGAAGATATTTTGTTTTGAAAAAATTAGACAAATCTTATGAAACTTCTTCGAACACACATTCTACATTAAATCTGTTTAGCAATTTCGATCGAGTGTCATACCATTTTTATAGATTGTAATCCTGAAGCGAAAACTCTTGTCAGTCTTGATAAATTCATATTGTTATGCTAAAACTAATCAACGAATTGTGCTCACCCGAGCCAAACTTGTTTATCCACTGAAGGGAAAAAAATGTAAAGTAAATCGGTCAATCTGTCTGGAAGAAGAGCCACACTGGAGTGCATCGCACTTCGGAAGGGATGGTAATTGTGGACGATAAGCTTGATGCTTGATTAGACGTCTTCCTTAAAAAAAAAAAAAGACTCAACCAGTTACTCACTTAGCAAAATCATATCATAATTCTCTACGTACAAGGTGTTTCGGATCCTGGGTGTGACGATAAATAAAATCCAGCATCAGGTTTTGATCGGGAGGTTTTGAGGTGCGTGGAACCTTTATCAAACCTTTCTCTTAAACGGGAAAATAGGTGTCTTAATCCAGTATCTGTTATCGCTCTTTCCAGTATTGATGGGGGTTTCCTTTCTGTTAAACCGGAACGTACTTAGTTCTATTGTAAATAGACTCTCCCACAGATAAGTAGTAGTAGTAGCAGTTGCCAGTGAAGCTCAGTGAGTTGTGTGAGTCAGTCGATGTCGGACATTAAATTATGAGCCCCACAACTAGATTGCTGCGTCATTAACTATTATTTCAAGTTCGTAACGTCGAACCTAATTTAGGGCCGACTCAGTAAAATAGAAGCCTCCGCTGTGAAAACTACTTTACAACACTTCCCAACCTTTTGCTTGAAGTGATGTGGAATGTCAGCGTTTTTATTATGTCATTATTCTCTTTTCGAGTTACATTTGCTATCCATTTTAGTTGTTTCTGCTGTTGAAACTCCTCGAGCGATGTTGTTTCTGTCATCTGGTACGGCTCTTTGTGATTGTGTAGGACCAGTACACATGGCTCGAAGAAGGATGATCCCCGATTAAATAAAAAGCTACCGCTGTGTTAAAAATGCATTTCTGCGATATTATAAACTTAAAGTAAATAATATTAGTTTCAACTAAGATTAATTATACTTCAAAGCCATTTTAACCATCGAATTGGGAAGGCGGTTATATACGGCTGACATTTTAGATACACACACACACACACGCGCGCGCGCACACGTCCGGGGGACTAAAGAAACGGTTCAGTTCAGAATTTACTGTAGGTTACCCAGATCGATATACACCTGACGAAGACCGAAGAGAACAACAGCTGAAACGTTGTGATAACTACAAAGACGAGGACAATATTCCGAATGTACATAGGGTAAATAAAAATGAGAAGAAAAAAATAAAATAAAATTAGAAACTACGAGATTTTAACAGGCTAAATAATTAATAAGCTGACGAAATATCTGCTTGGCATTAATAAAATTAGCAAGGACACTAAATGGTAATGGCAATATTAGTTGTTTCCTTATAAGGAAACATTGGCCATTCATTGACCGAGCAGTCAGTGCTGTGATCGTTTGGAATTTATAAAATATTCCACTGAAATAAAGTTTCAGCAAAACAGGTTTCTCAAGTCCAGTAGCTGTTATCGCTCTTTCCAGTATTGATGGGGATTTCCTTCGTAGCTTTTTGCTTGAAATTGTGTGAAACGTCAGCGTTTTTATTATGTCATTATTGTCTTTTCGAATTACATTTGCTAGCCATTTTAGTTGTTGCTGCTATTGAAACTCCTTGAGCGATGTTGTTTCTGTTATCTGGTACGGCTCTTTGTGATTGTGTAGCACCAGTACACATGGCTCGAAGAAGGATGATCCCCGATTAAATAAAAAGCTACCGTTGTGTTAAAAAATGCATTTCTGCGATATTATAAACTTAAAGTAAATAATATTAGTTTCAACTCAGATTAATTATACTTTAAAGCCATTTTTAACCATCGATTTCGGAAGGCGGTTATATACGACTGACATTTTAGATACTTAAAGATTTTGACGCCATGCGTGACATCCATATGAAAGTCTTGATTTGACGCGACTATTTAAGAACATGAATCAAGTGAGTTTATTTTCGTAATTTTTTTTTATTAAAAGTCCAGTGGCCATGTGTTATTGGTAAATTATTGTATAAGATCTGTTTGACAAAAACATAATAATAATAATAATAATAATAATAATAAAACTATCAAAATACAAGGATGTTACTTCTGTTATTTGGTATAGATCTTTATGATTATCTAGCGCCAGTTCACATGATTCAAAGAAAGATGGCCCTCGCTAAGATCTAAATGCTTCACTCAATCGAAGCCATTTTTAAAAATCGATCTGGGAAAGCGCTTATATACAGCTGACTTTTTAGATTCTGACACCATGCATAACATCCATATGAAAGTCTTGATTTGACGAGACTATTTAAGAACATGAATCAAGAGAGTTTATTTTCTTTTTTGTTATTTCTTTTTTACTATTGTTTACTTGATAAATCCAACCAAAGTAGAGGGTTATTTAAAGAAGCTGTATGAGATTATTTAATTAACCTTTTATTCGAATTAGTGTGGAAAATCAAACATCTTGATTATGACATTATTTTTTCTTCAATTTACATGTGTTATCCATTTTAGTTGTTGCTGCTGTTGATAGTCTTTAAGTCACGTGGTGTCTGTTATCTGGTACAGTTCTCTGAGGTTATGTTCCGGCGGCCAACAAACTTTGAAGAAGGATTTCCTTTTACATTAAATCTGTTTAGCAATTTCGATCGAGTGTCATACCAATTTTTATAGATTGTAACCCTGAAGAGAAAACTCTTGTCAGTCTTGATAAATTCATATTGTTATGCTAAAACTAATCAACGAATTGTGCTCACCCGAGCCAAACTTGTTTATCCACTGAAGGGAAAATCTGTCTTCACTTCGGAAGAGATGGTAATTGCGGACGATAAGCTTGTTGCTTGCATAGACGTCTTCCTTAAAAAAAAAGACTTAACCAGTTACTCACTTAGCAAAATCATATCATAATTCTCTACGTACAAGGTGTTTCGGATCTTGGGTGTGACGATAAACAACATCCAGCAGCAAGGCCTCTGATCAGGAAGTTTTGAGAAGCGGAAAATCAACTCTTAATTTTTGTTGTTCCCAGGTCCACTCTGACCTGGGGTGGTGGCATCTGTTAGGGTCCCAAGTATGGACAAATACGTAATGCCCCAAACTGGGGTGAAAACACGATGAACGTTTAAAAATACATTTTTACAGTAAAAATACCAACAATACATTTTCTTAGTAAAAAAAATTTTACCAGCAATACATTTATGTAAAAGAAAAAAAAAAATACCAGCAATATATTTTTGTAAAAGAAATTAATATTACTTCAAAGAAAATTAAATTTTGGCAGTAAATGACCCATAAGGAATTGATGTGCCAATAAATATACAAACTAAAAGATGTTTCAGAAAAAAATTGATATAATTTCGTAATCTAACATCTTGACTAATTTTCGTTCAAACGACACGAAATTTTAACTGCATGTGTAAAAACGACTCAAAATGACATATATTATTTACATTATTCGGACTATTGTCCTCACCTTTGTCGCCATATTTATCACAACGTTTCGACCGTTGTACGCTCCGGCCTTCTTCAGGTGGTTGGAATGTTGAACTGAACCTTTTATTTCGCTCACTGGGGTAGACTGTTCGAGTTCCACGTGCCATGTTTGATGGATGTCAGCTATCAGTTATCTCCTGTTAATTTTCCCTCTGAAAGTTCTCCACTGCCTTAACCGGGTATTGAACTCACACTCTTTGGGTCTGTCACTGGATCTAACCAACGCTTTTATCCACTGTGCCATGTGTCCTTGAGGAGCGTACAACGGCCGAAACGTTGTGATAAATATGGCGACAAAGATGAGGGCAATAGTCCGAATAATGTAAATAATGTACATAATACCTCATCTCAGAGATATAGACAGAGTCAAAGTTACATGTTTAACGTTTAATTTTTTTCTTTTCAGTTACAGAAATGCTAATTACTGGAAAAAAATGATTGCTCGAACATAGTCAAACAAGACTGTGTAGAGCTTATGGCCACATCAGGTTGAAACGCTAGTTCCCGTATGATCAGCGAAGTTAAGCAACGTCGAGCCTGGTCAGTATCTAGAAGGATGACCGCTTGCGAAAATGAGGTGCTGTAAGTTTGAGTGTGCGGATGATATAATGGTTCGTGATTTTTAATCGGGGAGCCGAGTTCGAATACCTGTTGGGTTCGTTATATTCCCTTACACGCAAAGTTATGAAACCGCCTATTCTCTCCCCAGCTATGGGTTAATTATTAAGATTTGTACCACTAACGCCATTACTACTTTAAAAAAAAAAATCTAAAAATATTTTCTGGCTTTAAATAACCTGTAAAGGGTTGACAAGCGGTAGACTGTGCAGCGCGCATTTGTGAAAGAATTTATCAAAAATACACCAACTGCAATGCAGATTTAGAGATGGCATAAATAGTTCAAAGAGGAAGGTTGTTCAGGGCAAAATAATTTGGTCGACTACCAGTATCTGAAGGGATGGCCTAGCGATTTCGGGAAACATTTTTACGAAGATCCAGAAAGTTCGTAAGAAGAGAAAGTCTGGAAACCCTGATTCCTTCGACGTCAGTTTGGAGTGTGTCACAAGGAAACGTTTGCGAATGAAAACATACAAGCAGCTGAGCTCGTTCAAGTTTTAAAGACGATGAAAAAAAAAACCCATACTGAAAACTAGTGAAAACTTAGAAATCGGTCATAAAATCCGAATACTTTTAAATTTCTCATTCAAATTTTGATGAATAAATCTTATTTTCCTCAACTATAAGTCTGTTTAAATAATGTAGTTAATCAGGTATTTACATCTCAAATGGTAACAATTTTTTTATAAAATACCCCAATCATGATTAAGTTATTTAATACGCGCAGGACACTCTGCCATTATCTCCGATATATATATGGGCTTAGACTACCAGAAAAGTAAAAATATGTATCAGAGATACTTTCTGTCTGGATTTCTGGGATAAGAGTTACCATTATTTGCACTATTTTCATACAGACAATTTTCTCCATCGTTGTTGTTTTTTTCACAACTTTTCGATCGTTTTGTTCTCCGGCCTTCATAATTTCTTTTTTAAACGTAGTTTTTCCGAGCGTCTCCATTGCTGTGTCACATAGAGTAGCGATTCGATAATTTTCATCTGGATTTCTGGGATGAGTTTTTCCGAGCGTCTCCATTGCTGTGTCACATAGAGTAGCGATTCGATAATTTTCATCTGAATTTCTGGGATGAGGACTGATTATTATTTAGACTATTTACATTCGGACTATTGTCCTCATCTTTGTTGTCGTTATCACAACGTTTCGGTTGATGTATCCTCCGGTCTTCATAATGTGCATGACAAATATTAACAACTAGCAGCATTGGCAGGCGTTGCCCGTGCTTGATTCAAAAATCGTACGACTCATACAGCAATCGCTATCACTTGACTTCAAATATTTTTGCCCTTCCTTGCCTTTAAAGGAGTGCCCTTTGCCGTGCTGATGTTGCTACATGCCTTACTTCTTGCCTATCTCACATTGCGAATTTTTTCTAAGCTCTATACGAAACATTAAATCTGTTACGAAAAAAGAACTAAACAAAATGAACACAAAACGATCAGCTTTAAAAAAAGGACTCGTAACTGGAAAAACCGAATGAAAAAAGAATGTTAACAACAAATACTTTTTCAACCCAACCCAGTTCTGCGGAATCAGAATCAACGTTGAGTTTAAGCAAGCGAATGAGCCAATTGGAGTAAAGTGCCATGCAGATTTAACTTTTTCCCACTTGTGACGAATGCAGCTATCGATTTTTTTGCAGGCTAGCATGCTAGTTAACATTCGTGTCAGTCAGCTGTTGGTTCTCACGTTGGCCAATAGAATCTTCCTGCCTATTCGTGGCAGCAAGCTATTGGCTCTCACTCCAGCCAGTAAAAAATGGCCGCAAACTACATGAAAACTGCCGTAGAAGCATGAAAAAAATCGATTATTTCCACTATCGATGGGAGTTGGGAAATGCAAAGTCGGTCTTGGCCTTCCCGCTAACTTGGAGCATGTGCATGTAAATTTTGGTGCAAATCCGTCGAAAATTGCGGACGTGCATTCGTTACACACACACACACACACACACACACACACACATACACACATCCTGCTTTATATAGATAGAGATATGTCTTCCTGGAAATGGATACTATTTTTGACTCTGAGTCTGTATATACTGAGAGAGAATTTACGAAATCGAAAGGACGATATGAAGACTGAAGAGCAAAAAACAACAACAAAGGTGAGGACAACAATCATAGATGCTGTTTGAATTTTGTGAGAAACGGAAAGCTTGCACAATAATATAAAAGAAAATAAAAAGAATGGGGCGATAGAGGAAGCGATAACGCTGTTATACCGCTAACGTCTGCTTCAGTGAAATTTATCACCTTTTCAATTTTGAATCTTTTCATTTGTACCCGCTTACTTCTTCGATTAATGATGTACCTTAATATTTTTGATTGTTATTGCCATATTTTGGTAAAGTTGTTAGGCATAAATTTTTAAGGATTCAATAGGATCGAATTTTCATGTAAAATTTTATAATCATGGAAGTCGGAAGGACCTTAATCCCTCCTTAAGTTAAGAATTAAAATTCATCAGAAAATTCAAATAAACTGCGCCTCTTGCCGCCCACACAACAAAATTCTTCAGTAACCATCTCCTCGTGAGTCTATTGGGCATTGTATAACTTAAACACTAGTAAAAAATAACTATGTTTATTTCTTAGTTAGCCCGTACGTCCCACTATGCCAGTACTTCATTAATAATGAACTATTCTGCTATGATGGCAAGAAAAGACAGAAACGGTATATCAGAGACAGAATTTGATTCAGAGAAAGCAAGAAGCGATGTATTTAACGTCTGCTTCAATGAAATGAAAAATATTGTCAGTTTTGAATCTTCTGCTTTTTATCCTCCTAGTTTAAATAATGACCATAATTATTATTGTTATTATAATATTTTGTTAAAGTCGTTAAGCTCAAATATTTGTCTATTCAATCGGAAGAATTTCCATGGATATTTTGTAAATGTAAAACATGTAAAGAGATAATTTAGTCATTAACTTAAGAATTCAAATTCATCAGAAAATTAAAATAAGAAAAATCGTAAAATTTTCGCGTGCATTTCTAGAAAAAGAAATCGTTCAATTTTCTTTTAGTTTTTGCCCTGGTTTTAAATAGATTGGTTGACGAATATTTGCAGTTAACAGTGAAGATTTCTCTATTGAAACACGGCCTTGTAGTTTTCTCTTTAATAATAACCACAGATGGACAGGCGCGAAAGAGAGAGAGAGAGAGAGAGAGAGAGAGAGAGTGAGAGAGAGAGAGAGAGAGTAAGAAATAAAGCATTCTTCTTTCAACACAATGATCACCTACCATTGCTATGAGATGTGCCGATAGTATAAAGACGGGGCCAAAAGTGATGGTGAATCCTTCCGGCTTGGCCCGGTATATTCTCTGTCGCTTTTTTTTGTGACGGAAATGGCGTCAGTTGTGATGCGTCTGTCTTCGGTCAAGTGACTTGTAGTGACGTGACCTGACCGAATATATTACATTCTGCCATGCGCTTGGCCATAAAGAGTCACACAATTACTGAGAGAGCATCTATCATCAGAAATAATTTTTCTTTTCATCATTTTCATTTTTCTTCTCTATTTTAGATTTTTATTTCTGCTTGAATTGTTTATTTTTCTTATAAATATTTCTTTCCGGTTGAATCTTATAAATATTTCTTTTTTTCTGATGAATAGTTGATTTGCTTATGAATTTATTTCATTCTGTTGTTGGCATACAAAAAATATTCTTCTGTGTTTATGATTATGTTTCAAGGAATGTGGAAGAAAATTTATGGCCGAAAGAACTTGCGATTTTCTTTAAAGCTCTACTTTGACAGATAATTGGAATCTTCGATGAGTAACGATATTAGAATCTCTAACCTTTTCTATGAATAACTTTTTTCTATTTTGATCGATTAAAAGCCTAAAGAATTCTTAAGTAGGAAGCAAATTGATGTAACAAATGACAGTCAACAAAAGATTTACTCTTTGTTAATGGTGGTTCAGATATACCAAATATAATGTCGTTATAGTTAGTTTAGCCTTGTTTCTACAAAGTCCAAGTACAAACTGCCTGGCCCAGGGATTGAACTCATAAGATGGGAAAACGTTTATAAATATGACATGTTTCGCTTTTATCTTATATCTTGCACTTTAATAAGTCTATTATTGAAACAATAATGGAGCACTATCTGTTTGATTTCATTGAGAAAAAGAAAGAAAGAAAAGAAAGAGCTGGTGATATACGTAACATCGTCTGTTTCAGTGAAACGGAAAAAAATTGTCAATTTCGAATCTTTTGTACCCTCCTTATTTAAAAAGAAATAACATATTTATGATTGTTATAATTTTACTTCATAGCAATAAATTGGAAAATTTTCCTTAAAATTCTTTGAAGACGAGAAAATCTTACTTTAAATTGTATTAATCTTAACACAATATAAAACTTATTTTAAGACATTCCAATTTAATTGGCAGAGACAAAACATCATTGTAATTTTTTCGAATTTTTTTCTGATAATTTGAATTTATAACATATAAAATATAGCTTAGTCACTGTTTCATTTATTTCTCAAGAGTGATCAATAATTGCAAAAGCTTTCCGAAATATCTGTTTTAACAATAAATTATCCGTTGGAATTACAAGTTTTTATTCTTTTTAACAAAACATCATTGTTAACAGCTAAATGTTCAAGGTGGAGAACAAGTGGACGATTATACCGGCCAGGGTAGTTGCTAATCAGTACAGGCACCACGTGACTGGAGATTATCCTTCTAGAACAGTACATCACTTTTCTGTTGCAATAATACGGATTAAAACAATTTATAGACGTACATGACGTAGTTCAATTTCCCTTTTACAAAATGGCCGTCTTTTAACGGATGTATATTGTGGCATAATGGCAAATTGATGTAACTAATGATTGTCTAGGAAAGGCGTACAGTTAATCTTCCTCTTAGTCTATAGTGGACCAGATATACCAAATATAATGTCGTTATAGACATTTACATATGACATAAGGTT